ACCGATCTTTTGAAGACTGGTCGGCTGACTAATTTCCCCTCAGTTTTTGACTGCTGGTTTTGTTACACTTTCGTTGGCATCGCTGGCCTCGAGTGACCAGACCATTTGCCAACATAGTTGGCCATAAACTGTACTTGATTGTCCGCATCTGTCTCCTGTCTGCATTCGCGTTGCATCATTTCAGTGCATGCGTTTCCGCCACCGACTTTGATAATTCGTGATTCGTTTCGTGTTTAGGACCTGTTCTCGCTCATTTTGCACTCGGCTCAACATGCCATCTGCATGCAATCGGAAGCATAAAAAAAAGCTTTTCTACAAACAAATAGAGAATTATTGAAGTCGGGGTGGCCGCGCAAGTCTGCCGGCGCTACAATTTGATTCTTTGACCTTTTCATGCGCCGACCACTCTCCCAAGTGTTCCCAAGCATGAGTTCAGCATTTCCTGGAGCTATCAAGCAAGTAGGCTTGTGCGAATATTCGAATGCTTCGAATATTCAAAAGAATAGTAGATTATTCGAATTCGCTTCGATTCCAATTTAAATTCATGAAAATTTCAAAGTATTCGCAATGAACGAATAGGCTTACACAAGTCCACATGTATCCCCAGTAAAGATGGTTGAACAGCACTGTAGAAGTGCTAAGCCGTGAAAGCGCCTAACCACAGGAAATGTGCTCTGCCACGAAGCCCCACTTCAAATTTAAAGGGCCCTGCAATACTTATTGAGCATGGTCAGAAAACGCTTCAGATCGTTAGTCGTGGCTACAAGGAACACGTGAGCCAAATATTATAGCGCAGCGCGTGACCTGCGATTCACAGTAAATTCTCAAAATCAGCTAAAAATTGCTTTCTTCTCTCGGCAAATGACCCCACAAGCTAAAAAATCGCTCATTGCAGCCATTGAATCAGCCATTGGCTGATTTGAGTATATCGCATTTGGTCGTTACTGCAACCACCGCGGGAGGCCACGACTTGTCCACGCCCACATGCGCGATAGCACTGAAAAGCCGAAGGAAAAAAAAAGATAAACAGTGCTCAAGATCATGAGGCACGCGTCACATATTTAATTAATTTTGCCATGCCATCTGCCACCCTGCTTAGCTTCCAGCACTTTTGTCAAGAAGAGAAGAGAGAAGGCAATTGCAGCTTGAGACAAATTTTTGCAACTCCGCACACTGGACAGATTGTAAAAGATGATTTTGCGTCAGTGAATTCGTGAAGCAATAAGCTTCTTTACTTAGTGAATCCATACCGTGGCGACTTGAAAAAAGTGTTGCAGGGCCCCTTTTAATGAACAAATTACCCTCAAATTTATTCTTAAGTTTTTTTTAAGCTTAAAAGCTTATTATGCTGGCGTACAGGCTCAAAGTATAATAAATTTTAAAATGTTACCTATTTTACAGGTTATCACTTGCATCCTACTGAAAGTCAAATCCTGCTACTACTCAGTTGTTTAGACTTCCTTTGAATGAAAAGAAAAAAATATTGTGCAGGTTAGTTAGGTAATGATGAATATACACATTTTTCTTTATATGTCATATATATATTCAATTTCGATTTGAAGTTATTGAACCGAAATCGCTATTAGCAGAAGCCTACAAACAAGCTACCTGACCTGCCTCTTTCTCACGTATTTTGGTTTTCAAGTTCGCCTTTCCGCCGTATACTCCCCTACTCTTTCGCATTTCTCGCGCAAGTCTGCTCTCCTCTCTTTATTGCAACTCCACCCGTCTCCACCACTCTGCAACCCGCCTTGCTGGCTTGAATTCAGAAGTTTCGTTTTCTGACTAGAAACAGGCGCAGACGAGTTCCGCATGTGCTGGGTTCTATGTTGCGCGTGCGCATATTGCTCACTGTTGTGCTTGTGTGGTCAGGATGGCGTACGGGTGGCCTTCCATGCCTTTTCCTGCCGCAGAACGAAATGCCGAAAGTGTGATCGCTTAGCTTGGGCGTAATTCACGCATTTGAGACTAATTATAGGTGCCACATTGCGGAGCACTTGCTCACATCTGTTGATTGCCTGGCAGCTAACTTGCAGCATTGAGTGTCCCTGTATACAGATGTGGAGATGGTGAAGGTTTCGTGGGTGGCAGTGGTGGAGACATGTGCACAAAACTGTTTTCGTGAGGCTGACTTTATTGATGTCGGACCGGATGCTGAGCCCGAAGCTTCCGAACAGGGTCACTCTGGTGGTGATTCGTCGCCGACTCTGACATGGGAGGGCATGTAGGAAATCTGTTGCGATGATTTCAATACGGCCCATACTAATAGATGCCGACAATGCGGAACCGCGTACAGATGAGGGCAGTGAATGAAGTGCACAGCAAGAGCAATTTGCAGGAATCAGATGATGAGGGTGACGAAACTTTGCAGCCAGTGTTCTAGCGATTGGCTACATTAATAGCCTCAGGCAGCCACTGGCCTTGGTGAAGAGCAACGCTGGCACTTTAAATGAACTCGAGACCATCCTTGTCACTTCTGCTATTCAAGACATGTGCATCACAAACTTTTTTTGGGGAAAAAAAAGCTTTCCCTTGCAATGTTTTTAAAACTACACAACTGTTTCATTTAGCATGAACTTTGGGATACAGCATCACGTAGAGGATGCAGCATCATGCTCAGATTCTTTATAAGTGATCTCAACTGTATATACAGTTAAACCTTGCTAATTCTATGTCACTGGGACCATGAGAAATATTCGAATAAAGTGGGTTTTCGAATTAACAGAACATACAAAAATTAGAATGCAAGGAACTTGAAAGTATTGAAGTAAGGGCTGGTCGTATGTTGTGCCGGCTAGTTTGTGGCTCTAAAGGTTATGTTTTTCAGCAATACCTGGTCACAGTTTTGCCACAAACAAGGAGGAATCTGGAGCATAACCACTGACACTGCAAAAAAAAAAAAAAAAAGAGTCACAGCTTTGCCGCATAAGCGAAGCAGTGAACGCGATAGCAACAAATTGGAAGGTCACGCGCAGAATGGCAAGCAGGTCGAAAGGTGCCCCACATTTCCCATGCACAAAGGATGCACAAAACGTACTCACAGTTACAGATTAACGCGAATAAGCGTCTCAGTTGTTACTTCGCTGTGTCTGAAAAGTACGCCCTTTTTGCAAATAGAGGCTGTGCAATGATTGCAGTGACCCTTGTGTGCCCGGTAACTACAACAAAATCGTTCCGACGAAACTCAAAGGCTAGCCAAGATGTACAATTTTTCCCACAGCAAGGTAAGGGCACGTGACCGAGCATACACTATCTTATTTTCTATGCGGGCCAAAGTACGCGTGAGAGATGAGAGCCGCCGCGCGCTCACTGCGCTCTCTTGCTCCCCCGAGATGCCTGCCAACAGCGGTAAGTGGTAGATATGAATAGCTTGCCGTTCAAACGTTGAAAAAGGTACCTCTCAGTGGCTCAGTGATTAACACCTCGCATTCAATGACGCGGAGGTCCCACGATTGATTCCGCGCGACGGAGTCTTTTTTTTTTTTCGGAGATTTTTTTTCCTTTATTGCATTTGTATATATATAGATACGTATACATATACGGCGCATGACATCGACGCCGATGCCCACGAGGGCAGCGAAATCCAGCTGAGAGTGTCCATATAATTGCTATTGCAATAGAAAAAAAGTGATCAACTGAAATGCATGCCTGCGAAAAAGCAGACACCTTCACTGCAACACAAGTGACACGCAGGTAGCATTTCGCCTGCTCCTCGTTGCGTCAGCACGTCATGACGCAATCATTCACCCATTTGTTCTCGTAAAATGAATAATTTATTATTGATCAGTGTGACAAAATTCGCAATGTGTTTTGGCTGGAAAACATCACCATTGTAGCTCTCGACCCGGCTTTTCGGAGTAGGCATTGCAGGAAAGAACTCTGCCAGCTGTGCGAATGCACGAATTGCTGGAGCAACCGGCACTCAGAGGTTCGCATCCATTGTGGATTTGTCTAGACAGTCCTATATTAATTTATTTAAAATCCCAGAAAGAATGAATAAATCGTGAGGCGCTTGAGGAGTTGACCGGAATATAAGTCGAACACCAAAACTTTGAATCTCTGAAAAACCTTGGTAAATACGCGAAACGACCAGCTGCAATGTGGTGACACTTCTTTTTATTTCGACACTAATCTTATGCCAGAATGCCACAAAGTGCTGTTACTCAGACTTGTCTGAACTTGAGTCCAACAAAGTGTGTTTTTCACTAGTAACGTCCCAGAGTGCATCCTCCTCCATTCCATTCAATACATTACTGATGCAGCATTTGTGGAAAGTCGAAAGTGCGCTGCCTCAGCACAAAGCCCTTCCGCTTCATAAATCAGGACACCTATGATGGCGATCCTTTGAGTTGCTTTCTCGTGAGCCCAGAGTTGCACGCTATCTCGAGACCTTCCACTTCCAGTATAAGAGGCTCCATTCTAAATACTGCTGAGATGTGTCTTCTTTTTTAAAGTACATCCCAACCTAGCACTTTTTTTCATCTTTCACACCTCCATTCGTCTTCCGGCAAACATGCTCCTCACTAGGGCTGCGCATGTGCCACCGCAGTGCACGTTAAGCCTGCTATGCGCCAGTTTTTATGAAGAGGTGCTCCAACCTTGGGCTCATCAGTGTCGGCTCTCTTCCCTTTAACGGCCCTTCATCCATGACACTGAACCACACTCCCTCATATTTTTTAGAAATTGGCATCTTCCCTAACCTTAGACAAACATCTGGATCATCATGAAAAAAAGCGAGGTAGCAGCTGATGAAAGTAGTCAGACGGTAAGGCACAAACAGCATGCCGCTTGTGGATGTCTGCGGAAGGTGTGACAGCACTTTCCTTTTGCATTTCATCATCAGTTTCCGAAGCAGAATTATCTGAAATTCATTATGACAGAGCAATCATTAGTGTCAACTTGTTTTTCAAGGTGTGGGAATCGCTAGAAATTTTTGGATGACAGCTTTAAATGACATTGAGCAAGGATGGGGATGGAAGACAAAACTTGTGCAAACATACCAATGTCTCATGAGCAGGCGGGTCCAGGAAGTCAAAGTGGAGCAGATCGTTGATGCCTAGCGACTTGAGCATGAGAACCACATTTCCAAGGTTCACCCGCTGTATCTCGGGCACCGTGTTATCCTCGAGCTCATGCTCGTATGCCCATGCTGTGTAGAGCCGAAAGCACTTGCCTGCAGCCACGCGACCCGCACGGCCTGAACGCTGTCGGGCCGATGCCTGCATTGCAGTGGCAAAAACAACAAACATCGCCACAATTAAAACTTTCTTTTCAATCACTCATCAGATGCCCATAAAACTGCTATGGTTGCTCGTATAATGACTATTGCGGTTGGTAAAGTGGCTATACCAATTATAGGATACAATAAAACCTCGTTAATTTGGAGTCACTGGGATTGTGAGAATTTTTCGAATCAAGCGGGTTTTTGAATTAACAGAACATACAATAAGTGGAATGCAAGGAACTTGAAATTATTCAAAGTAAGCAGGGCTGGTTGTTTGCTCTGCAGCTAGTTTGCAGCCCCAAGGGTTATGTTTTCCACCAAAACCTGGTCACAATTTTGCTGCAAACAAGGGGGAATGCTGGGCCTCGCTGCTGCCACCGCAAAAACAAGCAAACAAACTGAAGTGTATGCCTGCTAAAAACAAGACATCTTCACTGCAACACAGCAGTGACATGCGGGGAGCATGTTGTCTGCTCCTCGCAGCGTCACCACATCATGATGCAACCATTCGCCCATTTTTCCTAGTAAAATAAAAAATTTATTAATAGACAGTGTGACAAAATTCGCGATGTGTTTTGGTTGGAAAACATCACCATTGAAGCTTCCGAACTGAGTTTTTGAAGTAGGCGTTGCAGGCAAGAACTCCGCCAGCAGTGAAAGGGCGCAAATTGCTGGAGCAGCCAGCACGCAGAGGTTCACATACATCGCGAATTCTGCCAGACTGTTCTTTATTAATTTCTTTAAATTCCTAGAAGGAATAGGTAAATCATGATGCGTTGACGTTGTGAGGAGCACACGACATGCTGCCCACGCATCACTGCTGTATTGCAGTGAAGCGCAGTTTGTTTTCCGCAGGCACACATTTCATTTAATCACGAGACCGTAATTTCACAATTTTATTTTTTGTGCTGGTATTAGTGAGGCTGGCGTGCTTCAGCTGCCACTCAGTATCGCTAGAGTTCACCGCCTAGTGTTTTTTCAGGGCTGTCGTTTTTGCGGATTTTCGGCAAAATCAGGAATTGGGCACACTGCACCGAAAGTTTTCGAGTGAACTGGACTGGTGCTGACTGCCACTTGAATTATCCACTGAAACTTGCATTGCAAAATACGAGACTACAAAAATACTTCGAATTAAGTGGGATTTTTCAAATAGCCGAGTTCAAATTATCAAAATTGTAGTGCATCCAACTCAAGAAGGCCTACCTTTCTGCTTAAGGTGCATGTTCCCTTTGCTTTGCATGAACTGTTCCACAAAAAGCGTGGCACATAATTCGGGATTGCCAAAGTTGAAAAACAAGAACAAGAATAAAAAATGAGTTTCGAAATCTTCAATGCCTGTATGCTTCCCTGTACCCATGCTTCCTCTTATATAAGCTATATCAAAACAAAGATGGGCTACCTGCAGTAAAATTGCTCTTCAATTTTGACAGCTTTGGCCAGGAAAAAACATGCACATTGAACCAGAGAGAGACAAAACATCTTTATTATGTAGGTAGAACAAAAAGCATGGGAGGGACCCCTAGTCCGGGGTCCCTAATAGAAACGAAACAGCCACTCCTTATTCTCAATGAATGATGAACCTGCAGCTTTCAGGGTGCACCAACTGCTATGGTCATGGACAGTGACCATTCAGTTCTGAATATACAGAGCCAACACGTGGTGGTAACGACAAAAAATTGGGGGACCTTAAGCTTCGCTTATATTCTGCCATTAGTGCGTACTTCAAACACTTGAAAGTGGCTTGTGTCAGTGAAGCTTTCGCAAATGGCTGCATTTTGTGTAATGGGTAGCATGCTTCGAACCCCTAGCAATTGTGTGCGTGAAATCTTTTCAAACTTGCTATGCACCCACTACGTGGCCTTAAGGAAATAGGTGCAGTAACGTTTGTGCATTTAGTAGAAGGCGACCAGCTTTAAACCATGAAGTCATTATGATAATGAGATGTTATGACACACCATGGCAATGTACACTTGCCCCACTCATTATTACTGCAGTAATGCATGGTGCGTTGTGAAGCATATATACAGGATGTGTGTGTTTGTAAAGCACGAGTTACTTCCACTGCATTTCCAAGCAGAGGAAGTTATTTTCGCTGTACAGTAAAACTTTTTTAATTCCAACTCAGTTATTTTGTAATCCCACATAATTCGAATTATTTCCATGGTTCTGTATTTTGCAATGTAAGTTTGAGCGGATAATTTGAAGCGGTGGTCAGCACTAGTCCAGCTAATTTGAAAACTTTAAGTGCCATGTGCCAATTTTCTAGCCTGATATTGTCACAAATCTGTGAAAATGACGGCCTTTAATGGCCACAAGGCAATGCAATGTAGTGATACTAATTAGTGGCAGATGAAGCTCCCCAGCCCCATGACATCCAGTGCAAAAAAAAAAAGAAAACGAAGAAAAAAGTCACAGCTTTTCCACAAAGACGAAGTAATGAACCGATAAAAACAATTTTAAAGGTCACGTGCAAAATGGAAAGCAGATCGAAACGTGCCCTGCATTTCTCGCGCAGAAATTATGCACAAAACGTACTTACAAGTACGAATGCACGCGAATAAGCGCCTCATTAGTTACTTCGCTGAGCCTGAAAAGCGCGCGCTTTTTGTGAACGGAGACTGCAATGATTGCAGTGGCCTTTGTGCGCCCAGCAACTACAGCAGAATCGTTCCGGGTAATGCTGAGGCCAGCCAAGGCGTACGATCCTCCCCTCCTCGCCCCCGTGAGATAAGGGCGAGGGAGAGAGCGTCGCTCCCCTTCTTTAAGCCAGGCAAAGTACGCGTAAGAGATTAAAGCGGGTGCCGCTGCGCAATGTGGCGACAAAGCTCATTGCGCCATCTTTTTGGTAATGCCGAAAACCCAGCAGCGGTAAGTGGTAGATATAAATAGCTTGCCGTTTGAACGGTGAAGAACGTTCTCCGGAATGGCTCAGAGGTTAACGCTTCACTTTCACGATTCAGGGGTCCCACGTTCGATTCCACGCGCCGGAGTGCTTATTTCTGGATTTTTTTCTTTCTTGCGTTTTCATATATATAGATACATATACATATACGGTGCATGACATCGCCAACGTCGATGCCAACGCCGGCGGCAAAATCCAGCCGAGAGTGTCCATATAATTGCTATCGCGATAAAAAGAATGTGTTTCATGGTCAACTGAAACGCGAACCTGCGGAAAAAATTGGCCCGAATCTACACGTTACACTGTAAATGTCGTGCGTCTGAAGAGAGTGAACAAAACGTTTATTTGATGTTCAGCGCAAGAAAAATCGGTGGATGGTATTCTGAAGGCGCTACGTTAGAGTGCCTCGAGCGTGTAGCGGAGGCGAACAAGTGCATCTAGGCACGTTAGACACGAGCGCCATCTGGCAGTTATCTTCGAAAACGAAGGCGCGCACAACCGCGGAGAAAGATGTGTGCCAGTCTCGGAGGTGGTAAGGTGTAGAATGCAAAGCGACGGGCAGGTGCCACCACCGTGTCATCGTAACAAAGCGTTGGAAACACCTTCTGGGGCATTGCGTTGCACTGTCAGCGCAGCGTGATAAACGCTACAGTCTTTAGAGTTACTTGTGTGTGCCTCTTCTAGTATAAAGGCAGACATACAAAACATAGACGTGTTTTTATGGCACCTCAGATATGCGCAATATTTGCTTTTTTAATTGACAATCTCACAACTATGAATGCTAAACCTTGAGCAATATTGGTGGGCGCTGCGGATGGGGTTGGCCGTTTGGTGCCGTTTGAGGTATCGTTAGGGCGGACAAACAGACCAATGTACTGACAGACAGACCAAAATTTTTCGTCGAAAGTGCCCAAGAAAGACTATAGTCTTTAAAACAAGATGTGCTGCGCTGCAACACAGCGATGACAAGCGGGCAGCATATTACATGTTTCTCACTACGCCAGCGCATCGTGATTCTTCTGGGATAGTAAAGAAATTTAATAAAGGTCAGTTTGGTGAAATTCATGATGTATGCGAACCTCCGATCGCCCGTAAGTCCCGCAATTAGCACACCTACACAGCTGGTGAAAGTCTCGCCTGCAACGTCTACCTTGAAAACCAAGGTCAGAAACGTAAATTATCATGTTTTCCAGTCAAAACATAATGCAAATTTTGTAACACTTACCCTTATCGAATTCTTTATTGTACCAGAAAGTATGCGCGAATGGTCACATCATGAAGTGCGGATGCAAAGAGGAGCAGGCGACATGCTGCCCGCGTGTCACTACCGTGTTCTAGTGAAGCTTGTCTTGTTTTCAGCAGGCGCGCATTTCAAATAATCACGACAGCGTTTTTTTCTTATTTTTTTCGTTGGCAGCAGCAAGGCCCATCGTTGCCCCATGTTTGCATCAAAATTAAGACCAGATATTGCGGGAAAACATTATCCTTGGAGCCACAAGCTAGCCGGCACAACAAACGATCAGCCCTGATTACTCAGAATAATTGCAAGTTTCTTGCCTCACAATTTTTTGTATGTTCAGTTAATTCAAAAACGCGCTTAATTCGAAGATTTCTCGCAGCCCCAGTGACTTCGAATTAACAGGGGTTTACTATTTCCAAGCAGAGACGTGGCTTTGTGGTAGACCTGCTTGCCACGCAAACAACCCAGTTTTGATCCTCACTCAGACCAGACATTTTTTATTAATTTTCATTATTATTATTTCATTTGCACCTTTCTCGATTTTTTTGGTCACACATGAGATGATTAATTTTTCGCTCACAACAAACGACACCAGAATTTCTGTTAAATGAGCTCTTTAATGCTATAGTATTAAAAGAAAGGTTATTATGGCCTATTATGCCTTCATAAATAAGCGCAAGGTCATTCTGGAGTTTCTATTATGCCCATACTGGATGCATGGAGACACCTGCTTTATTTTGACTGTATGCTAGTGCCACTTTCCCTTGCTTGTACTGCACAACTGCACTGGTTCATGCTTGGGCTACTTATAAAGGGTAATCTAAATTATTCTGCATAACACCAAATATAACCCAACCAGTCAGAGTTTGATGGTGCCAATGCTTTAACCAGCAAGACCAGCAGACAAATCTGACTTACCAAACTTTCTTTAATCGATGACCATTAAATAACATAATTTGTATGGTCTATATAAAAAATGACCCAACAACATAATTCCACAGCAACAAATTTTTTTAAGCATCCCATTTCTTTCATAGTACATAAGTAGGATTTTACTGCAATACATTCTTAAACTTGATAAGCTGAAAGCTTGTTAGTACATTATAATGGATAACATAACTGTGTTAACAGCTCTTTAGGATATGCTGCCAAAATACATGACATCATGAGAACCTAGTGTGAAGATGCTAAAGTGGTGCTGCCATGTATCATTGCTGAGGCAATCTTTCTGGTTCACAAGTCTGCTATTATTGATGGTACAAATGATTTTGATATTCCAGAAATTTAATTTGCAAACTCAGTATCATGCACATGTATTTTTTCTTATTCTCTGCCTGTTTACAAGTTCTGTGCAAATTGACAAGCTTTGATTATTAGGAAGTTTTCGATTTTGCATCTTAGAGTGATGCAAAACTTAGTGTACCCAAACCACCCACGAGTACAAAATACCCGAACCTGTTTACAGGAGAATCCAAGCCTGATTTAGGGTTCCGTGTAGTATTCAAAGATCTCCTGTGCTGCTCAAAGATGTAAAACCTTAAGCTCACCTTGGAGATGGGTGTGACAACCAGCGAGTCCATGCCTGTGCGGGCATTGTAGCTATTCTGCTTGCAAAAGCCCGGGTCAATCACGTAGATTATGCCATCAATAGTCAAGGAGGTTTCTGCAATATTCGTCGCCAGCACCACCTGCATGCATTCAACATCAACCGCAATAAAATATCAAGAAATGTTGGCAACAGTCCTTCTTTTGAAACTGTTATATTTAAACGGCGGATAGTATGCACTTCAATAACAATCAGATAATTCAAAATTCAAAGAAACCTTGAATTTTGGTTGGCCCACTATCCTTTCAATGTATTTTAATGCCACTAAATTAAAACTGCCTCACTATTCAAAATCAGTTCATTCAAACTTTTGTGCTTGCCCATGCCTAGAAATATCTACTGAATTTGTTGCTCGTAGACGAACATTAGTATTTTCATGTAGCTAAGTGGCAGAAAAAAAGCTGATTGTCTACAAAATGGCCCGACTAGACAAACTGTGTGCACCAACAAGCGCATACTAACTGAGGAAGAGAAAATAACGAAGAGACAGGTCGCCCTTGGTCTTTATTTTAAGAGTACCCGTATTGCCCTAAGGTGCTACAGCAGGGAAATTATAGCAGGGACATGAACGATTCTTCTTCTTAACGGCACACTTGTGATTCAAACAAGTTATTCCACTCTTTAATGGCCCCACCAAAAATTAATTTTGTGATAGATTTGTCCTGGTATGCAATTCTCATACTTTGAAAACATGGTCAGTTCTTGATGAGCGATAATGAGGTTCCTTAAACGGGTTCCTTCACAAAATTTCATGGCCAAGATAGCCGGTGGGATCAATTCCTGTGAACGTGCATATATCATCTGCAAATATGCCTCTTACCTGGCCAATACCTCTGGTCTCTGGTCTGGCCAGTATACGTCTTACCCCATGGTCAGATGGGGTGCTGCCTTAATGAAAGGCTAGAAGAGCACTATTACAGTGTGCACAAAGCAATCCAGGGACACATTGGAATACATCACCACAATTGTGGATGTTCCCTTTTCTTTGATCAATGTGAAGTGGTAGAAAAGCACCCATCACAAATTACTTGAGAAATAATTGAAGTGCACTGCATAGCAAGAGCTGGTATAACATGTACCTGTGCCTCTTCGTTATCTTTATCTGAGCATGAAACGTTGTTCCTTAATCAGGCGAACCGTCTATAAAATTTTGGTCTGTGAAGTTGTGATGGTGCTTTTTATCTTGGCGATAAGTTTAGGTATTCTTTGTACGCTTGTGCGAGGCTACAAACTATTTGAAGCAATTTGCGAATAAAACTGAGTTGGAAGTTAGCGCTCTGTCCTTTTGGGTTGGCCTGCTTGGCTGTTTCTTTTGTACTGTAATGCGCTCTACCAGTTCAAGTACGACGAACTAACTCACCCAAACTTTAAGACTTAGGGGGCTACCAACTGTCTCACAACACACTTCGTCCCTCAATTATTACACATGCAAGCATACTTTGTACAATAACAAGTACTATCAATATTATCAGTGACGTCTAAGAGCTTTAGGGTAAAATATGCACAGTTGTCTGTGACGTTGCTGCGGCACTGAGAAACAGTGACCATCAAAACAACATACTCCATTTCAAAATCGGGTGCAGCAACACTGGAGCTATGCAAGATGCTCAGTCAGCAAATAGCGTAATCCATGCAACTCATGCTAGGCCTCCGCGATCAGCTTTGGTTGTGCGCTGCTGGAGATAGTCGCAGAGACCATGCTACGAAATTAAAGAGACAATTCTGAATAACCTACCAGAAACCGTATCAATAACGGGGTTTCTTTATTCCTGAGGCATGAAAAATCTTCCTTAAGTACTGAGTTTAAAAACAAAATCACGCAACAGGTGATAAATTCACTGAACTATTTCTTGGTTCAAACAAATCAACCACAAGAAGTCTCACTACCTTCCACACTGTTGCACTTAATGTAAGAAATGAAGTACCTATGGTTGTTATGTTGTCCCGGGTCATATTTATTGGAACTTCTGATAATTTAAACAAAATACTGAAGTCCTGTTGTGTTTGACTTATTAAGAGTCTACTGCATTTGTATGTACACGCTTGTCCAATCAAGAAATGGCATAGTAACTGAAACATAATACATTGAAGATGTTATAATATAGTAAATTATAAAACTTATGGTATGTCAAACATTCATGAGCCATATCCCAGCTTGACACTGACTCGATCATGAATATTCAACATACCATAACATTAGTTCAAATGTGTTTCATCACCATCATCATCATCATCACCAGCCTGACTACGGCCACTGCAGGACAAAGGCTGCTCCCAGGTTCCGCCACTCAAGTCAGTCCTCTGCCTGTATCTGCCACTTTACACCCGCAAACTTCTTAATCTCATCTGCCCACCTAACCTCCTGTCTCCCCCTAACCCGCTTGCCTTCTCTGGGAATCCAGTTAGTTACCCTTATTGACCAGCGGTTATCCTGTCTACGTGCTACATGCCCGACCCATGTCCATTTCCTCTTCTTGATTTCAGCTATGATATCCTTAACCCCCGTTTGTTTCCTAATCCACTCTGCTCTCTTCTTGTCTCTTAAGGTTACTCCTACCATTTTCCTTTCTATTGTTCGCTGCATCTTCCTCAACTTAAGTTAAACCCTCTTCGTAATCCTCCAGGTTTCTGCTCCTAAGTAATTACCAGTAAGATGCAGCTGTTATATACCTTCCTCTTGAAAGGTAGTGACAATCTACCATTTATAATTTGAGAAGGCTTGCCGAACGTGCTCCACCCCAATCTTCTAGCTACTTCCATCTCCTGGTTCGGCTCTGCACTTACTACGTGTCCTAAGCAGACGTAAGTGCTTAACCAATGTGTTTAGCAAATCAATTTTCGAAGCACTGCTTAGTGCCTTGATTTCAGATTATTGTGATATGCTCATTTACTTTGTGGCTCTTCCAGTTAAAAAAAATCTTGCTTCCCAGATGGCACATGAAATATACTTTAAAAAACCCCTGACACTAAATTTGGAAACTCGAGATGCTTGAGTAGTATGAGAGTCCTTGGGAGGGGGGGGGGGGGTGATTATTAGTGGTGAGCGTTGCCTATGGGACATTTCAATTTGGTTTTAAAATAAGGGTGCGTGCTCGTTTGAGTATACAGCTGCCATTGACATTTTCTGCGCTTTGACGTAGATAAGGGATCCCCGGGACATTGCAAAGATCAAGTAAGTATTGTAGACATCAGAGAACACTTTCGGGGTGTGCGGGGTACGCACAACACCCCTACTTGCGCCTAATGAGGACTATTGTTCGTCACCTCTCTCGCTCTGTTGTCGAGCTGGCCTCAAGGTGGTTTTGGCGGCTTAAGCCAGGAATGCTTTTTTTTTTTTTTCCTGAGGGAGAAACGCTCAAAGCATCCACATCATTTCAATTTTCACCACTCATGGGACTCCTGTTTAAAAACAGTGGGTTCATCGTCACAGAAGCTTGAGCGCACGTAGTCTCAGGCAATGCCCCGCTGTGGGGCGCTAGTTCCTTATGGTATTTAAGCTGGCATTTTAAACTGATGCAAAATTGTTCAAAATTAATGATGCTAGCATAAATTATACAATGTGTTATAGCATTTATAATTCAATATTGGCATTTGGGGATTCAATATTGGGGATTTGGAGCCGGCACACTTGCCGACATGTCGCTGATGCAACTGTTGCTGGTGCAGGTACCTCTGCTGCTGGTTTCTACGATCCACTTCGATGCAGCGGAACGCAGGACACAGCCCTTTTTGTCTGATCCCTGGTCAGCATCTAGAGTATCTCGACTATCATCCACATGTGTGCATGGGTCATCATCTGTCGTCAGAGGCACGTGTGGCCCGAGCCACAGATGAATCAGTGAGGATCAACCAATCAATTTGGGCCAACAGAACTCACGTGATGCCGATCAGGCGTATATAGGCACTCAGCACGATGGCTTCATGGGATTTGGAGCCGGCACACTTGCCGACATGTCGCTGATGCAACTGTTGCTGGTGCAGGTACCTCTGCTGCTGGTTTCTGCGATCCACTTCCATGCAGCGGAACGCAGGACACAGCCCTTTTTGTCTGATCCCTGGTCAGCATCTACAGTATCTCGACTATCATCCACACGTGTGCATGGGTCATCATCTGTCGTCAGAGGCACGTGTGGCCCGAGCCACGGATAAATCAGCGAGGATCAACCAATCAATTTGGGCCAACAGAACTCACGTAGTGCCGATCAGGCGTATATAGGCACTCAGCACGATGGCTTCGTGGGATTTGGAGACGGCACACTTGCCGACATGTTGCTGATGCAACTGTTGCTGGTGCAGGTTAGTCATTACTACCCATCTCAATCGCGGAGACTTGTATATGCATTGCCGGCTCCTCCCACCTCGCTAACTGTTCGTAACAAAAACCACGAATGCACGATGCATACGTCGCGTCTGAAGAGATTCCGATTATTTTCTAACAGAGTGCTATATTTGATTTTGTTGTTAATACTCGCGGGGGATGTTGAACTGAACCCAGGTCCTGCCAAGACACCGGAGATGGAAGTGCTGAAATGTTTGCAGAGTGGACAGGAAACATTAATTTCAAAGTTAAACGGCATTGAATCCAGGTTCGAAAAAAATGAGAACATACTGATGGAAGTAAAAGATAATCTTAACCAAACTCAGAACAAGATAAGGGACATCAGCAAGATTGTAACGGAACAGGCAGCTATAATACGGCAACTCATGCAACAGGTGAAAGGTCTGCAAAAGAAAACAAATGACCTCGAAAACAGAAGTCGCCGGAAAAATCTTGTTTTCTATGGTGTTGATGATAAAACCTCAGAATCCTGGGATGAATCCGAAGCTATAATAAAGAATATTTGCAAAACGAGCCTTGGAATGGAACTCGAGTCTGTGGAAAGGGCACATCGCTTAGGACGCTATAATGAGAATAAGAAGAGGCCAATTATTGTTAAATTCTCATTGTACAAAGAGCATCAGGCAGTGCTTCTAAATGACAAAAGATTCAAGAATTCCCAGTACAGCGTTAGCGAAGATTACTCACATGAGACAAGAAGTATCAGGAATAAGCTGTGGGAATATGCTAAGACAAAAAGAGAG